AATGATCTGGAGCCCCTACCTGAACCCGTATAAAAATGCAATTACCAACGAGCTCTTTATTTCAGCGAGCATTGGCATGTATCTACATTTCCCTGGTGATGACATCGATTCACCCTTGCTTTCGGAGTCTGCTACGGGCGGCATGATTTCTAAACCGCATAATCCTACCCATCTAAATGCCGCAGTTGCTGCATACGACTGGCTGAAGAACTCTAATATGACCGATGAAAATGGGTTATATGCGGATGGGTTCCACATCCAAGGATGGAGGGACAAACGTAATCCTGGTACTAGGAAATGCGATGTTTTGGATACGATGGTATACACCTACAACCAAGGGGTTTTGTTAAGCGGACTCAGGGATCTTTGGCTTGCCACTGGAGCCAAATTCTATCTAGAAGATGGTCACCAGCTGGTAGAAAATGTGATCAAGGCGACCGGATGGCCAAATACTTCTATCCAAAAATGGCATGGATTGGGACGCGCTGGAGTTCTTGAGGATGCCTGCGACAGTTCAGGAAGCTGTTCGCAAAATGGCCAAACATTCAAAAGCATTTTCTTCCATCATTTCACCGAATTCTGTCGCCCTCTCATAAACGAAGCAGAAAAATATTTCTCTGCCTCCACTCGCAACCAGCAAACAGCCGAACGGATCGGATCACAGAGGCAAGACTATGAATGGCACCAAGAAAAATGTTCTTCTTATTATTCTTGGGTGGCACACAATGCGAACGCTTCGTACATGACGAAGGATGAGAAAGGAAAGTTCGGTATGTGGTGGGGGAGACCGTATCCGTACTCCAATCTCCATCCCACCCAAACATCTCCCTTGCCAGATGGTGCAGTTGATTTCATGAACGAAGACCCGTTTGCAGATGTCGGTGATGAGCCCCATCGGCAAATGCTGAAAAGTGCAGATGGTAATATATACTTTGGGGGATATAGGAAGTCTCCTTTCGTGAAAAAGAAGAAGATTGAACGGATATCCCGCCCATCTCCCCGCCAGCAGAATCCTGCTGTCTTTGAGGATGTGAATGACCGTGGCCGGGGACGAACTGTTGAAACCCAATCCGGTGCTGTGGCTGTCCTTCGAGCCTTGTATCAATGGGAAATGGCTCGTAAATAGTAAATGATGTTAATTATTTCCTATGACTGTTACGAAGCCCAGGTATATCCATGCACATACATACACTTTTTTGAGATATTGTTACGCTCTATTCCCGGATACCCTGCATAAACCATTCCTCTTTGACACGTGAACCCGCTCCCTCGTTTTCTTGTTTCCTGTATTTTGAAAAGACATTGGCATACTGTCATTGGCTTTTATCTCAGCCTATCCTCGCATTGCGCATTCTTCCCCACAACAGATGTAAATGCAATACTCTGCTGAACTCTCTCATAATACAAACTCGGGACTTTCACCGGCCTGTTGAACAAGGTATTCCAATGGCGCATGTACTTTACAACTCTCTGTTTCACGCCTGAACTTGAAAAAGGGGAAAACTAACATTTCATCACTCGGCAAAAAGGTGGAAACAAAATATTTGTGTTAGAGTGTGTGCGTTTGCTAGATGATGGGGTTGTGGCCTTTCATTTCGTGCATATACGAGCCTGACGCTGCGCACTTTTGACTACGGGGATTGCTACAGCTCTCCCTCCTGGTGCTAATGTAAACGAGCTGCATGTTTTAACCCTTTAAGAAATGAAAACCTTGTCATCGTTAAATTCCTCCTGATTCTTCATCGATCCATATCTGCAATGACAAAATGATAGGTGGTACTTTGTCCTACCTTCGTAGTCATCTTCCGGGCTTCATATAGTTTGGCCTGTAAGCTCTCATCTCATTCCTTCTATCAAGTTTTCTTTTCCAGCCAACTTAATCAACTTCGCCTTCTAACTACCATGATATATGCCAAATAGGTATATTGAACTGCATGTATATCAGAACACTGTACCACCTATACTATAAGGCAACTAAAAAAAATGTAAGGTTCCATCTCCATCCTCCCACACGCGCACCTTCAGGATACGTAGATATGTAGCATGGTTACACCCCACCCTGAGATGGGGTAGAGAAGACGCAAGCGGAAATTTCCTAGGAACCGGGTTTTCAAAATCGGGAGGGTCACACCGCAGAAGCAAAGAGGAATAGAAATTAAAAAAAAAAAAAAAAAAAGGAAAATGGGGGTAGAGTATATGGTATCCACATAGGGAGTCACTTTATAAAGACCTTTCTTTCTTACTCTTCGAGCTGACACAGCTTTAACACCTCAAATCCGCATTTCACCGGCTTGCCTGCAGAAGCTCTTTTAAAAAAGGCTCTGCGGGATGTGGGGTGATGATGAGGGCCGGGGCCGGGACCAGCGATTCTGCGCGCCCGGAGGATCCATAAGAGTCTTTCTGGCGTGCAACGATATATTCAGCCTGATCCAAGAGAAGGTTCTGGACGTTCCTGAACATGATGCATCATATCTAAAATCCCTACAGGGCTGTTCTCTAACCAGGGTGTAAGGGGAGGCATCTCTGTATCTAATTCGATATTCGTTTCCGACTGGTTCATTCCCTTTTCATTGCCAACCGCGGGACGCTTCCAGGTGACTCCACGCACATGTATCACACTCATCTCACAAGAGTGACAATTGGCCCCCGTCCTACAAAAGACAATGACACACGCCAACATATTCCCTGTCTAAGAGCCCCTGTCGCTAATCCCTTCGTGAAAGTTAGGCCCAAAAATTCTGTGGTGAAATCATCCCCCAAAAGCGATGGGCCTTGTGTTACTCTAATTCCTGCTGAGGATAAGCTCTTCGAAAGAGAGATGGGGTCTTGGGACGACGGGAAGGGCGGATGATGGACAGATTGAGGTATAAGTCAATTGATGACTTTGAGACAGGAAATGAATTTGCACATAGTACAGTGTTCTTCTTCAGCATCTGTGCTCTTGAGCTGAATGAATATCAATTTAACCTAAGAACTGTGTAAAGGAGCCTCTGCTAATTTGTGCCAATACATTACTCACAAGAGAAGGAGCGTGATAAGAACTGCATTGTTTACAAGAAACTACATCAGCTATCCTCGCATATATCAGCACTTACCCATGTCACAACTGATGAATGATGCTAAATGTAAAGAGCGAAATAATTTTACATTAATATATTTCAATGTTAAACAGCGTAACAGTAGATATTGGCTCGAATCTCTAAGGAAGGAAGAGTGATGATAGATTCGGTGGATGATGGAGAGCAAGACCTGCAGGCCATGATCCAAAGGTTATTTTGTGAAACATTTTGTAAAACATATTGTATTAGCAGAACTGCCTTCTCCTTTCCATTATTATCATCATCGTCACACCAGCTCATTTCCATGTTTCACTAGGGTACAGATCAGGCATTTCTATAAAGAGGCAAGCAATGAAGCAGCAGAAAAAGCTGTCCATCAAGGTTATGAATAAATACATCAATTAACCAGTTAACCGATTTAGGATAAAATGGACACAGCCTAACAAGTGGCAGCGAGCCAGGAACATCTTGAGCGCGCTAATATACCCTCAGACATAGCAGACATCATTGAAATGGGATTGGGTGAGGAGTGGAAACTCGGCTTGCGGAGTCCAACATTTCTTCCCTTCGACTCTTCGTACCTGCTTTTTCCCCGGCGGGATTTCGATTGATTGGTTCCGTGAGAATGGCCTGCTGTCAATGGCACGGGATTGCGATATTGTGGATCTGTGCAGGTCCTTTGGAGTTAGGTAGGTTGAACGAAGAGGCTTTCACGCGTTTTTTTTCCTCCTCCATGGTGAGAAGCTGATGCGTTATTTCAGTTTGGTACCTTACTACTGTTTACCACGTAAGTTGCTGTGTTGTCTGTCTGTGTAATTTTTCTAACTGCTCCTGACATCTTATCCTTCACCTATTCTAGTATTG